TCTCTTGGAAGGACTAATTGGGCTGTAAATAGAACTGGAGGAGGCAAGAAGTCTCCAGAATGCCCTTGGGCCCCTTGCCTTCCACTGAGTATGTTATCTGCAGATTTTTTGCTTCACCAAGACAGCTGCAAAGCAAGGAGGAGCCAAGGTAGAGCCCAGGGAGTGGGAGGTGCCATTCTGAACAGGTTCAGAGTTCCCCTGGAGATCCAGCACAGCTCACCAAGATCAACCATTTTGGGGGGTTTTCTGATCCTAATTAGTAATAAAGAGTTTATACTTATAAAAAAACAAATGGACTGGTGGTATGGCTCAGTACTTAAGTGCCCCTGGGTTTAATTCCTGGTACCAAATAAATAAATTAAGTAAACATGCCACCCAGTATACCAGTGGGATCCCCTTTTATCCTTTTTCTTTTCTCTTAAGACTTTTGCCCAAAAGTACCAGTGGAATATGAACACTTCTAAGTGCTAAGCTCATGCAGGGGCTGTGTGTACAAGAGAAAGCAGAAGTGCATACTGAATTTTGAAAACTGAACTAATATTTAAACCACAGCTCAAGTCTGAGACTAACATCTGAGTGAAAAATGTATGAGACAAACCTGAAGCAGTACAGAAAAGGGTTCAAAAACCTCATAGACACAGTCACCACTCAAGTCTCAAACTAATCCCTGAGTGGAATCTGTACAAGTCAGAATCAAAGGAGCATAGAAAACTGAACTTATTAGAACCAACACCCAGAGAAGGCAAGACAGAACTAGTGGGCTCAACACAACCCATTTATTAACTGATAAACAAAGATTAAAAGCAACAACATTATTACCACTAGGCAGAATAGAATCCAAAATTATTCAACATGACAAATAACCAGCAAAATGTGATCAATTTTCAAAGGAAAAAGATAATCAGCAGATGCCTATGTCAAAATCATACACAAACCATGAGACTGATGAAAACAACAGATGATTATGACACATAAACATAGAAGCAATAATATTCAACAGAAAATGAGTGAAAGAACTAGCAATATATAAGAGGGATAATAGGTCATGATCAAGCAGAATTTTTATTGGGGATGAAAGCCTGGTTCAATATTTGCAAATAAATGTAATCCACTATATTTTCAAGCATGATCATTCTGACTGATGTAGAAAAAGCATCTGCAACCTTCAACATCTGTTCATGATAAAAACTCAGAAAATTATACTTAATAGTGAGAAAGTAAATGGTTTTGCTCTAAGATCAGGAATATGGCTAAGATGTCATTATGTTTATTCCTATTCAACATTGTACTGAAGATCCTAGCACTATAAAAAGCAAAAAAAAAAAAAAGGAAGTAAAAGAGATTTAGATTGAAAAGAAAGAAAACTGTCTTTGTTTACAACTACATGATTATTTACATAGAGAATGCCAAATGATCTATAAAAAATCTACAAGTATTATACAATGACTGTGCTTAGGAATGTCCCATGATACAGGGTCAATATATTTTTGTCAATTACATTTCTATAAAACAGCATTAACCAATGGGAAATTAAAATCCAAAAAAGTACCATTTATAATGCCTTATTATAATACAAAACACTTAGGGATGAATTAAATAACATGTGCCAGACCTGTGCATTCAAATCTGCAAAGCATTACTGAGATAAATTTGAAAAGACATAAATAAATAGACATACATGTTCATGACTTCAAAGATTTAATATTACCAATGTATTGATGATCCACAGAGGCAATATAATTCCAAACAAAATCCCTGTGGGCTTTTATATAGAAATTCACAAGCTGACTCAAAATTTATATGAAAATGCCAAGGACCTGGGACAGCCAAAACATTTTTAAAAGGGAAGAAAAAATTGGAAGATTCATACTACCTGATTTGAACACTTTATAAGGTTATCATAATTAAAAGTATTTGTATATACACTGATGCATATGTGTTCAACTGTTTTCAACAATAGTGCAAAGGTAGCTTAATGGAGAAAAAATAGACTTTATAAAAAAAAATGCTGGGGGCTGGGGATGTGGCTCAAGCGGTAGCACGCTCGCCTGGCATGCCTGCTTCCCAGGTTCGATCCTTAGCACCACATACAAACAAAGATGTTGTGTCCACCGAAAACTAAAAAATAAATATTAAAAAATTCTCTCTCTCTCTCTCTCTCTCTCTCTCTCTCTCTCT